TGATTTTGGTTATATCCCACTAATCTATTATTAATTTTATCATTTAATTTTGGATTTGGGATGAAAATTTGGGAAAATTTGAGAAGAGTTCTTAGACCAAATTTTGGGGTTTTGATCGAGATTTTGGTATCAAATTTGAGTGAATTTGGCATGTTTAGGCTCGTGAGTGAATGAGTGTTCATACTTTGTGACTTTTACCTGATTTCAAAATGTGGGTCCGGGGAGGCTTTTTGAGCGATTTTTCAGTTTCTTGCTTTAGCTTTGATTTCAATAGCTAGATTAGTTTCTTGTAGTTATATTCATGTTATGTAATTGGTTTTGGCTAAATTTGGGCCATTTCAAAAGCATTGTGGCAGATTGATTGAGCTTGGTTCGAGGTAGGTGACTTGCCTAACCTTATGTGGTTAAACTCCCCTTAGGATTTGGTACTGTGTGATGTATTAGCGCCGTGTACATGAGGTGATGAGTGCGTACACAGGCTATTTGTCGAAAATCTCCATTTTCATTAAATAAATATATGCTTTCCTTTAACTGAGTTATACTAGCATATGTAATTATCCTGTTTAGTTTAGGACATCATGTCTACGTGTCTTAATTGCTTATCTGAACTCTGTGCAACATGCTTAGTGAAATTCATGTTTCTTCATTGACTTGAGCTATATATTTGCTTTGAGACTACAGAACGGTATTCAGGGAGATCCTCCAGCACTGCATATTTACTTTGGGACTAAGGAACGGTATTTCAGGAGATCCCCTGCATATTTACGTTTGGGACTACGAGACGATATCTCGGGAGATCCCTTGTTGTTATCACTGTGTTATGAGCTATTTTCTTTCATTTTTTCTATCTTTGTTAGCTTTCCGTATCTATTTTTTCCTGTGGTATTTCATTCTTCCTTATTTCATTATGTTTATACCAGTAGGGCCCTAACCTGATCTCGTCACTACTCAACCGAGGTTAGGCTTGGTACTTACTGAGTACCGTTGTAGTATACTCATGCCCTTTCCTGTGCATATTTTTCGTGTGCAAATCCAGGTTCATCTTACCAGTCTCATCACTAGTTGCAGTCACTGCTGCTTATTGGAGACTTCAATGTATATCTGCCCGTGCTCGCAGATCCTCGGAGTTCCCCTCTATTACCCTATGTTCATTTTTCCTCTCTTTCTGTAGAGATGATGTATATAATATTTAGGACTTCTTAGTAGCTTGTGACTTACAGTATTCCGGGTTTTGGGAATTATTTGATACATTTCATAGGTAAAAATTGTATATACGGAGTGGCATTCAGTTGCTTATTAGATATTTATCACTGTTAGTAGTTAATGTTCATGCTTTTATTTTATTTTTCCGCAAAGTGTTAGGCTTACCTAGTCGTAGAGACTAGGTGTCATCACGGCAACTCACTGAGGAAGAAATTGAGTCGTGACAAGTGGTTTATTATTTTTTCTTGAGTCGTCTTTGTGTTGGTGCTAGTTTTTAAGATGATGTAGTGTAGTTAGATTATTTGGTTCAAAGTTTGTAATTCTGCCGATTTTGTTGAAGGTTTTTTGATGTTTATTGATTTGGGATGTTGTAATTGTTGATGAGTCTAGTGATGTTGCAGTTGTAATGGTACTTTGTTGGTATGAAATGAAGTTTTTGTTGATACTATAAGTTTCACACATATTTTTGCATACAAGGAAAATCACTAATAATGGAATGGCGATATAATTATAATCATCTCTTATAGATAGATAAGAAGAACATTGCCATTAATCGAGTAGCAAACATACATTGTTTCAATATTTAAGCCCAATAAAATATTGCTATTAGACAAGTAAATGTGTGATCCAAAAACTTATACCACCGTCACAATATTTACTTGTCTAAAGACCTAGAACATGAACAAACATAGTATAGTCAAACAGTTATGCAAAAAAGGAAGAAAATGTATATTACACTCATCATTACTTGTTATAGTACTCCCCCTTGCCCTCCCATTGCCTCTTCTAGCTTTAAGTTTACCAATCTTTTTCTGTTTCAAACCCAATAGTTGAGTTGTTGTCATTGCCTCATTTCCCTTCCAGGTAGTTCTCTTTGGGGAGTAAGGCAATTTTGTTGGTTGTGAGCTACCAGTGTGATCTCCTGTGAATTGTATCTTCCTAGTCCCAGAATTGTATTGATTCTTATGCTGAAGTCTAGTCTTAATGTCAGAGACAAACTTAGGCCTCAAAATTGGGTCAACTTCTGCACCAAATTCTGTTTGAATAAGCCTTCTTCTAGTTTGAATATGCTAACTTGGCATCTGAGTTATCTGGATGTATTGATTGGATTGTTGACTTGCCATCTGAGTGTACTGACTGGAGTACTAACTGGATTGATGACTGGATAGCTGACTTGGTTGACTAGCCTGACTCGGCATTTCTTGGTCTTGTACTGTAAAACCAGGATTAGGGACCATGAATTTTTTTTATTCTTGGTCTTGAGTTGTTTGAGTGTGGTCTTACACATTCTGGGACTATATCAATAAATGCAGATTGTAAGTATAAATTATTTACTGGAATTTAAATTAAGAAAGTTAGGTATACCTTAATGGCTAATGGACATCTTCTTTTATTATGGTTTGACTTTCCATAAAAACCACAAGTTCATTTGAAAACTCTTCTTGTAAGTTGACTATTCTCCTTGCCTTTTCCTAGCCTCATCCTTCTCTCTTGACCTTTTCACTTTCTACCAACCATCTTTGCTAATGGTGGTGGTTCTATGGCTTGGTTTGGCTCAACTTTCCAGAATTTTTCATCTCTAACAGGTTGAAGTTTGTGTTGATACACCAACTGCCAAACTTGTTTGGAATACCACTAGTGAATCCCAAGTGTTGGTCCAACTTCTTATAGTTGGATGCCTTGATAGCATAAGCACATGTGATTCCAAATATTTCCAAAATCCTGCATGTGCACCTTTATTGCTCCAGAATAACTGTGTGCCTGTCTTTACCTTCACTTATTTCGAAAACCCTATCTCCATTGAAATTTTTCTTGCACTTTGAAGTTATCTCTCTGTAATCATTGTACAACTTCATTGCATATGGGCTGTATTTACCTCTCCAACTGCTAACTTCATTTGCTTTATCCTTCAGTTGATTCATCACCTTCTATTATCAACCAGTAAATATAAAGAATAGTTAGTCAACAATAGATAAATTAACAAGTAGTAAACATAAAAGGTAGGAAGACTTCACCTTCACTCTTATATTCTCAAGCACCTTCACAATTGGCTTATGTCTAGCTTCAAGAATCCAAAAGTTGAAAGACTCTGTAAAGTTGTTGTCCATCATTGGGTATCAAGGTTAGCTATACACTACTTTACTGGTGGATAATTCAACAAGTCCCTAACCGCATTCTCAAACACTTCACCTAACTATTTCAAAATATCCTTAAATTCTTTCTCATATGTGCTCCAAGAACACCACCATATTAATTTTTTCATCTCATCAGTCTTCCAATCTCTGCTCCAGTTTGCTTCAATATGTCGTGCACAATATCTGTGATAGGATTGTGGACACACATTCCTTACAACATCTAATAGACAATGCACATGAAGCAACATTACATTAACAAACTAAATAACATAATCTTGAATAACAAAATTCTGAAATTATGGCAATATACCTTCTATATATCTAACATGAATGTATACCCTTCATAATCTTTCAAGTCCAAAGAAGCCTCCAAGTTCTCCAGGAACCGCTGCCATGTTTTTTTTGTTTTCTTATCCACCACAACCCAAGCTAGCAGATACACATGCTTGCAAGAAGCTTAAGCAATAGCAACTAAAAACATCCCTTGGCATTTGCCTTTTAAAAAGGTTCCGTCCAGACTTATAAAAGGTCTCAACCCTATTTTGAAGCCACTTTTGAGGGCCTGGAAGCAGACATACATCTTCAAAAATATTCTCTTACCTTCCTCCATTTCATCCTTGGATATTTGTATCACCACATTAGTCCCAAGGTTGCTTTCCCTCTAATCTTGAGCATATGCCTCCAACTTGTTGTACTCATCCAAGTAGCTGCCCTCTAATTTCTCTAAAATCATTCTCTTAACCCTCTTTAACTTCGAATCACTCACATTCAGACTAAATCTATCCTCTAAATCAACCTTCATCACTTTAACCTTAAATTAGGATTATTCTGAATCTTTCCCTTAAAATAATGTGCTAAAGCAGCAGGGGTAGCTCTTCTGTTCTCAAATACTTCACCATAATTATGTTCATCCCTCCAAGTTTTTATTTTTACCCATTGATCTCTGTCATCCTTAGAATAAGACATTTAAAGGGACACCCAAACTGATACTTGTATCTAAGAGCCCGTTTGGATGGACTTATTTTAAGTGACTTTTAAGCCAAAATAGCTTTTAAGCCATAAGTTAGGAATTCTAGCTTTTGACTTTTGGCTTGTTTTTGTCATTTTAGCTTAAAAATAAGTGTTTAAAAGTACTTTTTACTCTATCCAAATACTACAAATTGATTTAAAAGTTATTTTAGCTTAAAGCACTTAAAATAAGTCAATCCAAACGGGCTCTAAGTCTTATCCTATCATTCTTCTCTACTTGAAGGCCTTTCTTATAGAAACATCATAAAAATCAATAACCTCACTACTGGAAATTTGGGCTATGGCAACGATTTTAATGGCAACGAATTTATAACCATTGCTATAGATGGTCTATTGCAACGCTTCCAACCATTGAGTAAGGTTATTGGTACTATCGGCACAGTTTAGCACCTGAACCGTTGCATTAGTCCAAAATCCGTTACAATAGGTGTTTCTGTGGCTATGTTTTAGACGACCGTAACAATAAGTCTATATATGGTAATGGTTTCTTGAAATTTTTGATTTATTGCAACGGTTATGAATTCCCTCTAACTTTTTCCCCAAAATTTGGATGACTCTCGCTAAAACGAGACCCACTCTAATTAATTTTCTATTATTTTTTATATTTAATAAAATAAGAGTACAAACCTAATAATACACTACATCCGATATACTACACTCAAAACGCCACTCACAACTCTCTCTCCCAAAAAGCCTTCCTCGTTACCGGAGATTACGAGGAGAAGACGTTACCACCATCGGCGGCACCGGCGGTGTCAACGTTGGAAAATCTCCTTAAGGCTAATGCTCCTCTTGATAATCCACTAGGGATTCTCAAAATGGTGTTCGAGTTCATTGGAAGAGAGTCAAATCTGTTCATATGGTGAAAGATAAGTTGAAAACTAATCGAAGAGCCCTCGTCTTTGTTGTTCACCTTATTTATTTTTTCCTTCCTTTAAGTTGTGAGTATTTTCTGCTGAAGCTTTGAATCTATCTTAGAAATATGTTAAGGTATTTTTGTACTATAATTCACCCCCTTTTTGCAATCGATTTTATGACGAAAACATAAAATTGCATCCTAATTTCATCCTATTTTCTCTTGTAAAAATCGCACGATTTTCGCCTTTGAAGCAGAATAGTAGCAGGTTTCGGGGTCTTCTTGCCAAGGTAGAATATCCCCTAAGTATAAAATTTCCTTTTTTATTGCTGAATGTGTTAAGAATAATTGAGTTCTTATTGTGTTAATTAGCATGATTGATGGTTATCTTGTTGATTCCGAAGCACCCTTCAATCTTCGGTAATTTCTGGAATATGGGATTGTTGTTATGGTTGATGTTAAATTGCTTAACTGTGATTTCTATTTCTAAGAAAATTTTGTGTGATTACCTTTTTCTATTAATTCTTGTCTTAGCTCGAGGAGATTCCAATCTGTTGGATCTATATAGAGTCTTTGATCTAATAATAGTATGATGAGCTAAATGTAGAGTATCAAAATATTGGGGATATCAAAATAAATAATTTAACAAAAAGAGAAAATTAAAAGAAATGTTGTCTTTGTTAATCAAAATTGTTGTCTTTGTTACACGTACGTAGTGCTATGTTTTGACTGATTACTATATAATTTCAAGATTCGTATGTAGCTAATTCACATTCACCATTGACTTAATTTTTTTTACTGTTGTTAGCTTTCTGAATACTAATGTGATTTTTCTTTTTTACAAATATTTATATGATTGCTTTGGTCTTTTGTGACTGAATTATTGGAAAGAGTTCTGCTTATATGTGGAATAAGCTTTCAGCTTCTGTCTTTGAGTAATTTTATGTCAAATTCTTTGTTGTACTCATCTGCTTTCAATTATATCTTCTTTCTCTTTTTGGATTCTTGATCCCCTTTTCGTCTTTTTCAATATTTTCCCCTTTTTTGGATATTCTTATGTTGGACCTTTTCTTTGTGAACTATTTTGGAGTTTGGTCTGATTTTTAATTTACTGCATTAGTTGATTGCAAAACACTTTCTTGAAATAATTTCAGGTATATCTTTCTTAATTTAGTAGACATTGAAGTATGGACTAATGCATCAGTCCAAAAACCATTAAAATGACTAGCTTCAAATGGAGAATAGATCGATTGAGTTCCGTAGTCTCACTTTAAGGATCTTCTTGAATACTAGAACTCCTATACTGCCAAGGTAATTATATCCAACTTTTTGCCAACTTTCTTGAATAATTTCCTCGGCACATTCTATTAATTGTTGGGGGTCTTTGTTCTATATGAATCAGGCTTAGTAAAATTTCCTTGATGCAATTTTATGAGTTTGTTCTTTAAACTCTACAGAAGATGTTCAAATACATTGACTAGTAGGATATATTCAAATGCTTGCTAGTAAATGAATTAGATTGGCACTTAGACATCTAGACTAGAAGAAATCTTTTCACTTTATTAAGAAAGAAAACAAAAGTTTGAAAAAAAAAGGAAGTAGATGCTTTTCATTCTCAAAATACTAGAACATCCACCATGTGTCATTTCAAGATGTCTATATTAACGTGTCAGACAAGAGGGGTTGCTCTGATGGTAAGCAACCCCCACTTCCAACCGAGAGGTTGTGAGTTCGAGTCTCCCCAAGAACAAGGTGGGAAGTTCTTGGAGGGAAGGATGCCGGGGGTCTATTTGGAAACAGTCTCTCTACCCTAGGGTAGGGGTAAGGTCTGCGTACACACTACCCTCCCCAGACCCCACTAAGTGGGATTATACTGGGTTGTTGTTGTTGTTGTTGTTATATTAACGTGTCACTAATTCCTGTTTTAGTAATGATGCTTATGTATAACTAATATAAAATCATACATAGTTATTCTGTATTCACTGGCTAGATCTAAATCTTTAATTCACATGTGTGTTTATTAAGTTTAACATGGAAGTAATTTTCAATCAAAACTAAGAAAATCCATTCATTAAACATACAAACATGGTTGAGCAAATTAACTCAAAGAAATTAAAAGAAACATTCTTTTTGGAACTTGGCTTCTGCTAGTTTTTGCCACTGAAGCACTTGACTCACAACCACACCCTAAAGATAATGGAAACACCACAAACTTCTCCGTTGATCTATCCTTTAAATTTTTGTGTACTTATATTAGAAAAGAGAAATACCAAAATGGAAAAAAAAAAAAGAAAATAAACAAGAATCAAAGATACTACGAATAGTTGAAGAGATAAAGAGAGAGATATTAGGAGATAACGATTGGCTTAGTGAAGAAGATATTATGATATAAGATGTAGAAGATGTAAGAGTAAGACACACACACAATGAAGAAGGTTGGTGGAATAAGATATATGAGAGAGTGAGACAAGCTAAAAAGAGAATAATATGTGGGGATAGAGTAGTAGTTAGGTAGATTTTTAGCGTTTCAGAAACAATAGCCAACACTAATTGCTTGTTACTTCCTTTTCTGCGGATGGTTAAGTTTCTAAACTTTTTTCCTTTGCCTTGTTCTTTATTTACAGTATTTCTCAACCTAATAAACAAAGAATAAGGCCTTTTCTTTTTATCTCTCTTTTCCTGAATATCGTTTTGTTTTAATTGATCATGATTTGCTTCTAATTTGCTTTCACTATTAATTTGGGGTTTGGTACTAATATTTTATGAGAGCAAGATAATGAAATCTCCAAGAGTTATATTTAACTTGCATATTTAGGTTTCTAAGTTTGCTCTCATACCTCTGGTGAATCAAGACAGCTTTAATTTGGTAGATAGTGTTTCCTATAAGGTTATTAACTGTGTTTACTGATTCTGGGCTCATTTGGGCTGACAATGACAAACTGCTTACCAGAATTTGAAACACAACTGTAACAAGTAATCCCCCGACCTATTGTCTCCCATTGTACCATTATTTGTGATGTTGCATGATGCCTCATTGGACCTTTGACCTTGTCGTCCGTCCGACGATATCGTAAAATCGGAAGGTAGCAATGGGATGTAAGTGGTATCTTCACCACTCAATGCAATATTGATGGCTGGCAAATCCATAGGGCTGTAGATTACTAGTGAACCTGATGAGTCTATGCAACTTTCTTGAAGTATCAACATGTTATTCTGGCTTTTGTTATAGGCCAGCATTGTAATTTGAATGGGTAATTTAAAGAGAGAAAAAATGAGGAGGAACCCAATCATTTCATTATGATGGGTTTTCAATGTCTTAGCCTTATACTTCTTATGTTTTGATGATCTAACAAACTTGTTATGAAGAACCAGATAGAGAACTTTGTTGCACAGGCTACACATCTCCTATGAACAAGTCAGCAATAGAAAGGAACTAAACGATCATAGAGAGGAACATCACAGGGACCTGGTGCCCCGGTCTCTTAGGGTTCTCCGGTACAAAGAAGTCAGTGACTGTACGCAATCAATATAAAGAGGAACACAACAGGGACCTGCTCCCTGTAGGTTCTCTGACAAAAGTACAGGTCAAGTACACATTTGGAATGTGAAAGAAGAAAGTGACCATCTGGTAACTATTACAGAAGCGGAACACAATGAGGACCTGGTCTGTTAGTGTGTTATGACAGAAGTACAAAGTCCACTATCCAGCTGGAACGCAACTGCCCAGTAGTGGCTGTGCAGACAGTACAACAGTCACTTCTCTCTGGGCAAAAGTACACCACGAGTTGACATCACTACCTATTGAGATATCTTTTGTGATAAAACAACCTGGTGCAAGACACACCAGGATTCGTGCATTCAGTGATATTCTCTCAAGAAGAAGAAGCATTCATCCAGCATTGAAGTCACTGGTGTGTCAAGAACAAGAAGACAACTCCACTAAGGATCGGTTTCTAAACGAGTATTATGTATATCTATAGTTGAGTTGTAACCTTGTTAATTGCTCTACATTGTAATTCCTAGTTTGCTTTCTTAGAAGTGTTGTTTTAGGAACAAATCAAATTCGTAAACTTTAGAGTTTATGTGTGACAAGGAATAGTCGTTAATTAAATCCTCTGTAACTAGGAGAGTTAGAGAGTGGCTTGTGGTGGTTGCATCACAAATTAGTTTAAAGTCTTTGCAATCAGTTGTATTGCAAAGTGGCTTGTAATAGGTAGATTACAAATTAGTTGAGTTAAAAGCCTACAAGAGTATGTCAAGATTTTTTGATCCCCTTGTGTGGGATTTTTCCACGTAGAAAATCTCTTGCCTTCTTTATTTTCAGTCTTACTGCTTTCTACGTATCAGCCATATACGGGACCAGGTACTCCATAGTTTGGTGGACTCATACAGGCTATCAATTGGTATCATAGCAGGTTCCTCCTATCAGGCTAACACCTAGGAAGGATCCTTAAATGGCTGCTCCACCAAGCTTTGAAGAAGGACTATTAACCTATAGACCTCCCAGATTCAATGGTCAATACTACGGATGGTGGAAGGCTCGGATGCATGACTTTATAATGGCTGAAGATTCAGAACTGTAGGACATTATTTGTGATGGTCCACATGTTCCCATGAAGAAACTTGAAGAAACAGGACCATTGTTGCCCAAAGGGAGAAGAGAGTACAACGACACTGACAAGAAAGCTGTAGAAAAGAACTATAGTGTCAAGAAAATCTTGATGTGTGGCATAGGACCTGATGAGTACAATAGAGTATCAGCCTGTGATACTGCCAAAGAAATATGGGAAGCCTTACAAACTGCACACGAAGGAACCAGTCAAGTCAAACAATCCAAGATCGACATGCTCACCATTGAATATGAGCTCTTCAAGATGAAGGATGATGAGTCCATACAAGATATGCACACCAAATTCACCTCCATCATAAATGAGCTTTACTCACTTGGAGATGTCATTCCAGAAACAAGCTTGTTAGGAAAATTCTCAGTGTTCTACCTGGGTCTTGGGAAAGTAAGGTAAATGTTATCACGGAAGCTAAAGATCTACAGACTCTGACCATAGATGAGCTGATTGGTAATCTGAAAACATATGAGATGAAAAAAAAAAGACAGTGAAAGAAGAGAACCCAAGAAGGAAAAGAACCTGGTGCTTAAGGCTAAAAGGAGTGAATCAAGTGATGAAGATTGCGACATGGACTATCTTACGAAGAGATTTCAAAAAATGGTTCGAAGAAATGGTGGCATACCAAAGTGGGACAGTTCAAGTAAAACAAGGAATAACGATCTCTGTCACGGATGTGGAAAGCCAGGGCATTTCATTAAAGACTACCCACTCGCAAAACAGGAGCAGTACAAGCAAAATCCTGACAAAGTTGGAAAAAGGAACCTGGTTCCAGAGAAAAGATTTAATCGAAAAAGTGCTGCAAACAATATTGTTAAGCAGGCTCTTACTGATTGGGGAGACTCCTCAAGTGAATCTGACAGGGAATCAGATGCAGAAAACAGTTCCATGATGGCAATGGAAACTGAAGCAACAAAGTACGATTCACTATTTGCGCTGATGACTCAGTCAGATGATGATGATGATGAAGATGAAGACGATGAGGTAAAATTCAGGGATGTTCAGAGAAATCTGAAATCATATTCCTCTAAGAAACTAAGGTCTTTATCAAATGTCATAATTGACGCTTATTATAGTCTTATAAATGATAAGGAGATCTTGACCGTAGAACTAGGGGAGGCTGAACAATCTAGAGATAATCTAGTGGTCTGTGTAGTGGACTTAAATGAAACCATAGCTAATCTTGAACTAGAGAAGGAAGCCCTAAATGAAAAAATAACCAGTGTGGAGAATGAGAGAGACGACCTGATGGTAGTAGTCGTTGATCTAAATAAAACAATAGAAGGTCTTAGCAATGAGAAACACTCCTTAGAAGAAAACATTGCCTCCACTGAGGAGGAAAAAGATGACCTTCTAGTAGTATGCATTGATCTAGAGGAAACCATTGAGGGACTCAATAGAGAACATAGGAATGTAACTCTTGGGAAAGGGAAGGAAGTAGCCAGTGAGTCGCATATCTTGCTCGAAAAGGAGTTAACTATTGTAAAAACCAGTCTTTGCAATGAACTCGAGAGAAATCAGCAACTCTAAGCTGAGTTGGAAAAAGTAAGAAATGCTCTTGAAAAATCCTTGAAATGGACCTGGTCTTCAAATGCAGTCATTGTCATGTATCTCAACAATAGTGGGAACAAGCAGGGCATCGGGTTCCAAAGGGAGAAAACTCCCTACAACCCACACAGCAAGTATGTCACTGTACTTGATAACTGGCTATATACCCACTGCGGAAACAATAGGCATTTTAAAGACAGGCTAGGGTTCAGTATGCTCAAAAGAACAAAGCATTTACTGATAGAGTGACTACTAGCAAATGACCATGTACCACTCGCAAAAAGCGGATGCTGCCTGCGTGGACCAAGAAAACCCTCATGGAGGAGGAGGAGAAGGCACAATTTCTCAAACTCCAAGGATTGCATAACCAAAATGGAGTAGCAGAAAGAAAGAACAGATTTGGAAATTGCTGCATGAACTGTGTTCATCGTCTAGGGAATAGCTAAGAAACTCTGGGAAAAGGAATGAACATTACTCTCTACTTGGAGAACAAGTGTTGGACCAGGTGCCTCCTAAATTAAAACTCACTAGGAACTGCCAAATTGGAAGATAATGCCTTGTGCTTGACAACAGGAAGGGTCAACTTGGTGAGCTCAATGCAAAAGAACGAGCTAAGGACTTCTTCTAAAGTTCAGATCCACAAAACAAGGCCACAGAGTCTTCAACAAGGAAGCACAAAATGGCAGGAGATGCTCATGGGGCTTTAAAACAGGAGGGTTGTCGACGCCCCCTTTTTCTAATGGGTCGAAATCGGGTATACGACATTGGGAGGACAACTCTATTTCCTTTTGAGAATTGGGTTTTGGAATTTGAAGAGTCGCCACCTAATGATTATAATGCATTAGGACACTTTAAGAAGGGTTTGAGATGAAGAGACCAGAGATTAGGGTAAGGGCTAGAAATTATCCCGAGGGGAAGGTGTTAGGCACCCCTCAAGATCCACTAGTGTGGTCTCGGCCATGTTACAATTGTGACTTTACAAGTAAACAATCAAGGCTCAAATAAGGATTCGCATATAACATTGCAATCAGGTCGAAAACTTTCGAAGGTAAGTAGAGAGGGCAGAAATTTATGAAAAAAAAGATTTGAATAGTTTTACAAGAAGAGATGAAAGCAAATAAAGGGAGGGGGTCCTAAGTTTATAATTAATATAAATCACTTCAATGCAATACCCAACAATCACTCCTCAAAAGAGGGGTCGCACGTGATATTAGCGCATCGGTCATCATATCCATATCTACCCTTCCCACCATGTTAAGGTATTAAAGCGCGAAATGGTATCGTTACTTATTGCATGCTATTACCCGTCCCAATCCTATCAGTCCCGGAGGCATATGGGACTCCTAATCCTAAAGGGGATGGAGTTGGGGCTTTTGCGGAGTTTTCAAAGGATAGAAATCTAGGCGACAAGCAATAACAGATAACAGTTAAAAGGGAAACAAATAGCAGTTAAGGCTCAAGTCAGCCTCCTCATTCAAAACAACAGATTATCTAGCATGACTTACAAATACTAGTTTGGTTTGTATTAAACTTAACGTAGGAAGGGTGGCTAATTTATCACATATTTTTCAAATAAGAAGTCCGAATTAGGCATGCCTGCTTGTTGTAATTATCAAAACTGATGCAATTATAAAATTTTACCCTAAGGCTTGCCTAGGCGTTAAACAGAACCTATAGGCATGATATCTATTAGTTTCAGAAATAAAGAAGTAAACTGATTGTAGAGAAAGAATTGTCAATTACAGGAACATAAGATCTGCAGGCGTCAAACATTATTGCTACTGATTTTAGGCTTATAAGCGAGTTGACGATTCAGGTTTAGTTAACAGCTCTTATGGACATGCTTTCTAGGTGTTACTGATTTGAGCACTGTTATTGCTTATGCAGGAATCCCATAGGCAGGTTGTCTACATGTAATTGATTAGGTATTTAAATCCTATAATAGGTTTGCCTAATGATGGATGCAGAATGCAGAAAGTCCTATAAACATGGTGTCTATATGAAGATGCAGAATTTTAGAATCGGCTTACAGGCATGGCATCTGTTATGAAATTGCAGAAAACCCTATAGACATAGTATNACATAAGCATACTATCATAGAAGTTGAATTCTACAGAGCAGTAAAGTAGGCATAGACATAAAAACTTGTAAGTAAACACATTGGGGTTGATGCTAGAATCAAAACTAGGACATACCCGTTTCAGGAAAAACAAAGGCAAAATACATAAGTTACCCCCTGAACTATGAACCAAATCCTTGTTACACACTTTTTGTGGACGAAAATTACTTTACACACTCAACCTTTCCAGATTATGCCTAAGACACACCTCTTTGTCAAAGTGGCAGGTGCGTGTTTTACAAACAAAATAAGACGTCTGAACTGTAAAAACTGTACATCTGATTCTTTATTTAAAGAGTCCAGATTTAATAAAATTTATCCAACGGTTAAATGAATCCTCTTTTTGTCATTTTCCAATATATCTTCCTTTTTGTATTTTTCTAAAATAATTTGGTTCAAATTGGAGATAATATAGATGTTTACTATCCATTTTATCCACTTTCAATTAAGAAATCTGTTAAAATTGTAATAGATCGAGTAAAAATATCTGGAAAAATCNTTTATTTAAAGAGTCCAGATTTAATAAAATTTATCCAAGAGTTAAATGAATTTTCTTTTTGTCATTTTCCAATATCTTCCTTTTTGTATTTTTCTAAAATAATTTGGTTCAAATTGGAGATAATATAGATGTTTACTATCCATTTTATCCACTTTCAATTAAGAAATCTGTTAAAATTGTAATAGATTGAGTAAAAATATCTGGAAAAATCAATTCAAGAAGAAATTTTTAACAATGTAGAAGAATTTGTAATGAAATCTTCAAGTGAGATTAGAAGAACAATGTAGAAGAATCTTCTCTTCTTTTTTTCCTTTTCAATGGGG